TAGCTGCAGTTACAATAGTACAGTCGTGTAACTTGTCAACAAGATGCTGGGATACTTGATGAAACAAAGACCAAGCTGTTATATCCAGTGCAGAACTCAAGAAATCTTTCCCCTAAAACAATAAAAAGTATATGTTGAAGAATAATGTGGGACTTCCCTAGCACAGCTCAAATGCATGCTTCTCTCAGAAACAGATTCCCAGAACAGAGGCTAGTAATTTATGATCCACCAAAATACTCTGTTGAACAAAAAAGTAATACCTACACTGTGCCTATGCAAATCAGTAAGAATAAGTGACTCTAAGGACCAGTAAGAACAAAGCCCAAAACTCCTATCAAACATTATTTGAGGTTTGAAAAAGTCAAGACAAAGTGTAATTTTTTTTTAAATGGGGATAAATTGGGATTTCTGTAACAATTGACTCATTTTGCCTGCTTTTATCTAAGGATCTCAAAGAGCACTCCAAGTGTTAATTAAATTACAAAGCATTTTTGAGACAGGTAAATGGTATTATGCCCACTGGGGAACGGAAAGAACATTTATATTTCATTACTAAAGTCACACAGTAATTCAGTGGCTAGTAATATAACCCAAGAATTACAAGTTGCCACTTCTACTCATTGACCCAATGGCCTCACAAGAGATAAAATTAGCCTTAGAAGCCAAAAATACTTTCCTCTTGCGCGTTTCTATATTCCAGGAATTAGGCCAAGATTATTTTTTATTTTTTTATTTTTTTTCACTTTATTTTTCTTCCTCTGCTTTCTGGGAGGCCTTTCTTTCAGTCACAAAAAGAAGCCACTTCCTCACCTACCCAAGTCTATTAATGATCACAGTACCGCAATATGGAAAGGAACCTAAACAAAGGCAGTGAACTGGAATGGTGCTGTTTAACAGCTTATGAGGCTTCATCAGGATCCTCTTCTCCCTCTTCTAACCAGCCATGCTCCCAGAGATGACACATAATAGTCTCTATCCCGTCAGAATGAAAATGGAAATAATCCATCACTGGCCAATTCAACAACTTCCAATCCTACACTACCAAAGAAACAGACATAAAACTACCCTAAGGAACAACATAAGAAACAACCAACGATTCTCTGAAAATTATTCAGGCCATGGAAGTCTGTTCTGCAATCTACTACATCTATTTTGAGTTGCATGTAGGAAGTAATGATAATTCCATTCTTAGCCAAAAAAAAGGAAGCCACCATTTTTCATTCCTAACTAGTGCAACTACAGGATCCACAAATAATAAAGCAGTAATATATAATGCAATCTGCACAATAGACAGGCCAGTGACTTGTAGTGCAACCAGAGGCATCTCTAATTCAACATCAGTACAGCTCTGTTAGAGCTTTAACAAATTATATCTCCATTAGTAAACTCATTTTGGAGAGTTCTTTCTAAAAGGTTATTTCATAATAATTTCTTAAATAATTATTTATTACTAAACTGAGGGAAAAATATTTTTGCATTTTATTTAAACCTTTTGAACATAATATTAAACCAAGATTCCAGGCTTTATTCTCCCCCACCCCATTTCTTGTCATGTCATGAAGAATCATCTATGTGGAAGAGATGAGAATGTCTTTGATTCAAATGACCAAGGTTTAAGATTGTCTTTGGCGTGGCAGAAAATAAAGCTGCTGCATATATTTCCAGTAGTAGCATTACTGTTGTATGATATGACAATCATAATCTTTTTTCTTTTCCTAAAAATATGTCTAAAGAAGCACACAGTTTATACATTGCATTCAAAATTTTTTTCTTCGTTTACATTGATTGCATATTTCAAATTATGTTATAGCTGTATCGCTTATCCTAAATCAAATAAAGAATCCACATTAAATGCATACACACACACTTCCCTTGTTTTTAGACATTGCCAGTATTGACAAGATTAAAATATTTTTCTCATTCATTATTTATTGTGATATGATGAAACAGTAAGAGTATGTATTTAACAGAACATCACGAAGTAGAGTTAAAATATGGACATGCTGCTTCATTTCTATTTTACTGCAACAGTGTTAAGTACGTGACACCCTGACTACAATAATGACATCTTTGGGTGACGAAGATTTAAGATATTTTGCAAAGATGCAGTGTTATCCAAACTCTTCAGCCATGCTGATTAGGATTATTATTAAATAGATGAACCCAAGACTGGAAGGAGAGCCATGATTAAAGTCCTCCTGCTGCAGAGGACTGGGGGAGCCAGCGCTCAGTGCCAGAGCCACAGCAAACTCTCCCACTGCATCAGGAATGTAGCCACACATACTGCCACACTTACACGAGCATCAATGTTTTTTGCTACCAAAAATGAGTCCTCTGGATAGTTTCTCTTTTTCTAGGGGGAACTGGTTCTATCTGACAACTGAAGTTTGGGGTCAAACAATGCTGTATCTGGTTGAACCTCAAGTACAGGGTAGATACATATGAATTTGGTTTTCAAACGTATGTCCCTTGGATTGAAAATCACAGACACAACACTGCACAATCCCATTTACCAGCTCACAGTTGGGCACCATTCTGCACATTTCTACTGGCAAAAAAACGCAAGGAAATGCCAAAGAAAGCACCACAGCAAAGCAGTGGTGACCAAATCCAGTACTGTTGGACAGAGGAGAACAGGGCTTGACTTCTGTAATATGTGGCAGTATCTGGGTTAGAATGCAGAAAAAGATAGATATATTTTAGCCCAAATGCTTATTCTTGCATACTACAGTCTAAATACCCCCTATGATAAATACAGCAGAATAATCAGAAGGTACTGAATGCTTAAAATGCACCCTTACAAAACAAAACAATGTAATGCACATCTCTCTTTACGTGTCAAACAATTTGCCTAACAAATCATAATAATGTAGAATGATATAAAATTCACCCATCAAGCCCAAATGCATGCACAAAGATTACCATGGCAAAGAATTGTGAATTTCATTAAATATGTTAAAGGCAGAAAAAAAATTCCACTTTGAAAAATAGTAATCCTGTCTTTCAACAAAAATATTATAGGAAGCTATGAATTTGGTAGATCTGAATAGGATGTTGGTACATGTTTTACTAAGGTAATATAATGGCACACTATTATTAGATCACATTAATCATTACTGTGCCAAAGGCACTGACAGCACCACTGAAAAGGATTGAAAGGGCTGGTAATGGATATAAATTACCCATTGTGTGATAAAAGGATTTTTACTAAGAAGGTAAGAATAAAACAGCAAATTTCTAATATAACTGTTGTGTAAAAACCAAAATAAAAGTAATCCAGTCAGTAATATCCACAAAATCAGAAAGTAAGCACTTTTGAAACAAGATAAAGTCACAATAAAAACTGTATACAATGTAAAATTAATTTCGTTGTGCATAATATTACTATCAATTTAAATAGTTTACATGATGACCTCTAAGGGCTATGGTAAAAAGAAAGGTAAGCTTTGTTAATTAGAATCGAGTAAGAGCTTCTTCAGGCGTATTTTGAGTTTCTGAGCTTGGAATTCTTTTTCTTTTTTTTTGTTACCCTATAATGGCTTCGTGACACCCCCCCCTGAAATTCAAGATGTGTTGAGAGTGTTCAGTTTTCTGCATTAACATCACAACAAACAGCATATCTCTCAGATGGTTTTATTTGGAATCCAAATGCTATTATAAAACAAACCACGTCTTTGCTGAGCTATTTAACCATTTGATTGAAACCATTTGTATTACTAATTGTCCAGCTCTGTGCTCCTCCTTTACTCTGGCAAGTATTTCCTGATATTGGTAGGGATCAGTGAAGTGAATTGGTCAAACTACATCCTTATTTACTGCATTAAAAAATCCACATATCTTCTCGGAAGTTGATGGAATTATTCTAGAATCAAGTCACTGTAATTCTTTTCCGGTCAATTGTCTAGAATAAAATCCAGTAGCTCACATTCAATTAGGAAGTTTTAAAAATGGTGAGCCATATTCTTAAATGATACAAATTCATAAGTACAGACATCAATCCTGAAAACACGTCTATGGTTAACTTTACTCACGTGAGTAATTCCATTAGCATCAGTAATTCAATACCTGCTTATGCATTTGCAGTACTGATGCTTTAGTATGCCTGAATATCCTCTCACTTACATCAGCTATAAATCAGCACAATTCCTCTGAATCACACCATTTCTACTGATTCACAAGATATAAAAACAAGTGGACAATCCAGTCTAACAATTATAATAAAGAAATAACGTAAGAACTTGGTTTGTCAGCAGAAGCTATCAGAATTTTTGATTTAAGAATCAATTAGCGCATGTAAAATGTAGAATTAATTATTAGTTATTTCCTAGGAAGATAGGCTTTTATTTTAAACTGAGGGCCAAAAAACCCAATTCTGATTTCACACCGATTTCCACACCAATATGGTTTCTCAGACTTTACAGGAGCTTTTCTTCTGCTGCACTGGAATAGCTCAGAGGAGAATCACACATACAGTGTAGTACACCCCTCCACCCACTGATTTTCATGGGTGTTCTTCTGATGCTAATATACAAGAGAATATGGCTTTTAATAATATGCATGAGATGTTCTATTGAACTTATGGAAAAAAACAACAAAAAGTGATAAAATTAATTTAATCACGAGTGTCATGGTTTTTTATAAAATCAGCAGTCTGTTGATAAAGTAAAAAATGATGATTCATCTCTAACACAATTATTACATATCAACTGCATAAGATGAATGCTCATAATTTTACCAGATTTTTTTTCCATGCAAGATCTATTTATAGCTCACTACACTCTGAAAAAACTGCAATGAAAAGTTTTGCTAAAGACAGAAACATAGTACAGTTTTGAAGATGTAAAAAATGTGTGAGAGCAGACCTTTAAATAAATCTAAGTTAGGTACCTCATTTTTATGTGGGTGGTTTTTTTTTTTTTAATATGGAAAAACAAACCTAAAAAACTAGAACCATTATCAGAAGAAAACATTATGAGAACAATATAAGTAAGTATTCTTACCAGTTGCTCTTAAACCAACGAATCTGTTCTCTGGCTTGGGAAATTCTTAAAAAGACGCAGGATAGGTACTGAAGGTCACAACTGTAAAAATAAAACCTGTAAAAAAAGTTAATATGTTAAAACTCAATATTTGAATCAGATATTTATATTAAAATATTACAGGGCCACCTCAAGCAGACAATCTAGAAGCAGCAGAGAGTACTAAAAATCAAAATATTAATGGGATTAATTTTTTTTTTTTAAGCCTTCATAATGTAAATGCATTTGGTGGTCATTTCATTTTGGGAACTGAAAAGTTCTTTCAGTTCTGGATTGTTTTGAGAGGGAAAACATCTCCTCAAGATAATGCTGAGGCACAGAATCCTCTGATCCTTTCCCCCGGACAGTACAGCAAAAGAGGACAACACAGGATAAAACAAAAGTTGCATAGCATACTCCAGAAACCCAGTTACTCTCTTTGACATTGATATTCTAATCTTTCAAAATGGGTAAAAAGAGAACAGCTACTAATTGTATTTTTACCTTTTTTTAATTCCACTTTATAACAGAAATAAGTCCTTTGTAGATGATCTCATCTAATAAACCCTACTTAAAAGAGATAAAAGCCAGCAGTAAAAGCCAAGCCAAAATAGTTCCAAGATATTTGTCAGTAGTGAATTTAGGGCCATTACATTAGTAAGCAAAATAGAAACAAAAACAAAGGGCATTCTTAGAGCAAAATAAAGTTCACTTGACTGAAGCTATAATCTGAAGAATTTATGACTGAGAATTCTATGTTTATCCCTATGCATGTCTAACAAATGAAATTAAAGGTCACTTCCAAATAATAAACTTTGTACATCCACATCAGCCAAATTATTTCATCCATCAGGCTCTAGCTCTGTAACTCCAGTTCAAGCACCACAGATTTAAGCCTTCACTTTACCAACACTGATCTCTAGAGAATCACTGACTTCTCCTCATGGCCCAGTGGTGGGCTGGAGTAGTCACTGTGGGCAGAACTGCATCTGTAATTTCCATAGGAAATAATTAAGAGGTTGGTTGGTTTACTGCATATGATTTAAACCAGTCAGCACCAACAGGACCACACTGCTGGGTAATACCATTTGTTGACTTGAAGGACAAATGGCAATTTTGAGGATCCCTGCTGATGATGAAAACAACATTAAATGATGTGGAGCTCACTACTAAGCAGCACAGCCCTCCACTAGTGCAATACTGATACAAGACTTCTCATGTATCCTGTAAAGTCTCCCCAGACTCCACCTTGTCCCAGTTACATCCAATGCAAAAGTCTCCTGCAGAATGTCCCACTTTGTCCATGCCATCTCCTCTGCTCACTCCTTTGGTTTCTCCACCACACCAAGCACAGGCTACTTATTTCCATTTTGATGGTCTACCACAACATTTCCTGATTCCCACTCCTCCCCCTCTTGCTGGCAGATTGAACCAGTCTTTATCATGCACTTCAAAACAGTTTCCAAGTAATAATTCTGCCGTGCAACTCCTCTGACATAGGAGAATTACCCCAGTAAAAGCTTCAAACCCCTCCTTTATAACTCACATTTCCACAGTTAACTGCCAACAATTCAGCAGCAGACATTTGGTTTGCCATCAACACTGTTTCTCATGTGTAGGAACGCATTTCTTTTTTGCTCTCTCCTCATGCTTAGTTTTTTTACATGAGAATTGTCTCTGGTTTTATACTTGAGTTACAAGCCCCACAAGGCAAAGCCTATCCTCTCATTATGTATTTTACAGTATTGAGCTTAATGAGTGGAGAGCACGTACAAGCCATTACTCCAATCTGGTACCCCATTTCCCCAGAGTATATCCAGCTATACGAGAAGCAAACCAAAGGGCAGTCAAGCCAAGCACCTCCAGTGCCAGCTGGAGAGAAGAAAAACCTTTTGTACATGATTAAAAAAAAAAACAACTTGCTATCAGATATGGTTTCCCAAATATGAAATTTGGTACTGCAGATTTGGTCTTCCCAAATACCTGGACAAGATTCAGATCCCAATTAGAAGCTCATACCATTTAAGAATTCAAGTAAATGAATTTTTGTTACAATATTTGGACACACAGGAAAAGCAAATTCATATAACATAGGTCCCATCCAACTTTCTTAGTTGCACAGTGTCTAAAAAAAGTGACAGCTTGTTTGTCTGGAATTTCTGCTGTTACTGATGTCTTCAAACTCCAAGATACACCTTTTTAGTGTTTCCTTGCAGCTCATTCAATATGAGAAAGCCAAGAAATAGAAATGAAGATAACAGATTGTTAGTGTTCTCTCCCTAAACAGGTTCTTACTACTCCTACACTGACATTGTAGACTACATTTTTGCTATGCTATTACAAGGCTACTTGTGTTTAAAAAAAAAAAAAATTCAGATTTTACATACACGCTCATGACTTGCAAAATTCTAGGAATGACTCTCAAGGGGCTTTCACTAAGATTCTTTATAAATTCTGATGACAGACAGAACACAGTAAGGCTTCATCTCTTAAAGTCCTGTACTGATTTGTTTGGAGGCTTCATGTCATTGATCAGCATGTCAATGTCTCTTGCAATCTGCTTTCCAGTTCATGACTGTGAGTGAACCCCTCAGGTTTAAAACCTTAAATGATTTAAGATCTGTGATACATAGCCTTATGAACAAATTGGGAAAATCTGTAGCTTTACACATTAAACTGTAGCAGAAATGATTTAAAGCCTTATAAAAAGGTATTTTACTTACCTGTGCTAATATTATTCTAACACATTTGACACTATGTAAAGCAGATATTTTAAAGGTACAGGCAGCAAGCTACATGGAAACAAATTAAGACAGTTCCACTTAGGTCAAATTGGACCAGTTTACCAGTGTCTAATACACTCACTGGCATTAAAAAAATTGAGCTGTGAGCCCTTACAGACCAATTTGTCACAGTAAAGCCGCCCGCCCGGAGCAGCACTCCTGTTGAGCTGCGTTCAGCTCGGTGAGTTAACCTGTTCCCCCACCACACCTCCACCCCTGAAGAAGAGGAAACCCCAGTGGCCTAAAGAAAGAGACTGGTAAAATAAAAGTACTATCAAGACATAACTGGGGTAGAAGAGTAAAATTTTTGTTCGTTCTTAAACATGACCATGCAGCTCATTCCTTGAAATGAATTACAGACATGAAAGAGAGCAAGCAATCTCTCATTCCACTGATGAATGGGGGCCATAAGGATTTCTGGTTATGGGTAGAAATCTAACACACAGCAAGGGAAAATTGATGCTTGAGGATAGACTTTTTCTGAACAAGGGACTCTTCCCCAACTACTGAGGTTGCACAGGCTTCATCGTGAGGCTGTTAGCACTACATCCCATTCTGGTTAAACTCAAAGATGAAACCCCTGCTAATCTCAAGGGGACAAGGCTTGGGCCCTCTGCTAAGCAGCGTACCCCTTCTGATGGAATGAGGTGTCATGTTTAAATAATTATTCCCTATCAGCTGTTTTTTTGAGGACCTCTTGAAATGCCATGGCATAGCTGCTGTCACCCTAGGCACATTAGAGAGGCACGGACATAGAGACGAGGCCAGAGAAAGCGGCTTGATGTCAGGATGAAGCCAGCCCAGCAGCCATGCAGGACACCCTTTGCAGGCCTCAACAGGAACATGGCATGCATCATAAATGCAGGACAGGACTGACGGGGCCTTAAGGGCCCATTTAGTGTCACTGGGAGTTAGATGCATAAATGAAGTGAGATAAACAGTCCCTAAAGAAGGATGCTGGAATAGATCTCAGTAATTTTCCACTGTTCCTGAAAAATTTACACCACTTTTCTCAGGCCACAGTATGGTTTCCACCCATGCCACCACAGCCTCCCCAGCCCAGTCACAGCCATGCACAAGTCCTCGCAGCCATGCACAGGTCCTCTCTCACAGCCCCACATTGGACCTTCCTCCCTGTGCCCAGGCACCTGAGGATCTCCAACACATAGAACTGTCTGCCTATAAATCCAAGGTATTTAAAAACTCAAATCTCACCATGACAGGATTTGCCCACATCTCCTAGCAAATCTGCAGTGTTTGATCTAACATCCTTTCAGGGAAGCTCCTTTACATCACCAAGATCATGCAACAAACTATTGCTCTCATTTTGCCTCCTGATACAAGCAAGCAAAAGACAGCAAAGATAACAGGACAGGAATGCACATCAATTTAACTTGTAGGGAGCCAAGGGGTTTGCAGAACCATTTTATCAAAGATGCACAACTCTTTTCTGCTCCTTAGGTTTCTCTACACGTTTGTGTTTCAAATATCCCAGTTTGCATTTAAGTTCTTTGGCACAAACACCACCATTAACCTGTCTAGCTATTAGTCACAAAACTAGTCACAGAACCACAGACTGGTTTGGGTTGGAAGGGACCTTAAAGCTTATCCAGTTCCAGTCACTGCCACGGACAGGGGCACCTTCTGCTGTACCAGGTTGCTTCAAGCCCCCTCCAAGCTGGCCTTGAAAACTGCCAGGGATGGGGCAGCCACAGCATCTCTGGGCAGCCTGTGCCAGGGCCTCTGCACCCTCACAGGGAAGAATTTTTAGCTAATGCTTAAAATCTTTTACTTCAGCATGATGCTGCTCCTCCCTTTCTTGCTCAGTCCTGATCCAAAGCCATAGAAGTCAGGAGACATCATTTGACCTGGTGGTATTAGATCAGACCAGCAATTCATCATGACTGCTCACAGCATCCATACTGGTGGCGAGCATGGTTTCATTGTGACTTGCCGTTTGCCACTACGACTTTGGAAAGGTGTAGGATCCAGCCCAGAGGCCACACTATGCCCTGGGAATACTTCCCCTGGCGTCAGCCCACATGGTTGGGGTTGTGCTGTCCTCCGGTAATCACACACTGAGGGAAAAACACGCCCACTGCTAGGCTGGGGTCCCCAGGGACAGAGGAGGTATTGGGGACAGGAGCATCCCAGGGCAGAAACCCCAGGGGGCAGCAACTGCACCCCTCCTGCCCCACTGCGGCAGGGCAAGGGGGGTCTCCAGTAGCTGCTGCACATCCCAGTCCCCAAGGACAGCCTCTGCAGCTGGGGAGCCCCAAGGCCTGGCACATAACT